GTACATATATATATATACATATATTATTATTATTGCGATGATTATTATTAATATTATTATTGCGATTATTATTATTAATATTATTATTACGATTATTATTATTATCATTATTATTATATATATTATATATATATATAAACAAAAGTTATATCGAATATATTTTAGTGCTAGTTGATAATACCTATTAACGTCGTTGCAGTTTTATGAGATGATGCGTCAGAAAACGAGAGTAAATGAAGAAAAAAGAAAACGAAAAAAAAAAAGAAAGAAAGAAATGAAAGAAGAAACGCAAACGAGATACGTGGTTGACTTTTAACTTTATATATACACGTTGAATTAACGTACTTCAGTGGGATCCAATAATATTGTAGCGGTGTAATCCCCGATTTGGTGCCTTTTTAAGCGACATAAAATAACGACGATGAAAAGAGAGGGAGAGAGCGAGCGAGAGCGAGAGGGAGAGAGATGATAAAAGAGAGAGAGAGAGAGAAAAAGAAGAAAGAGCAGAATAAAATAAAAATAAATTGTTATCGAAGAAGCAGATGCGATCGTATGGCGCGCTGACGCGCGTGTGTATATCCCCTTTTTTAAAAGAAAATAAAACAAAAAAAACATACAAACAAACAAAATGGCGCGCCTGCATGATCGCGCGCGGATCTAGTGCCAAATAAGCGAGACCTTGTCGTGAAACAAGCGTAAAAGGGAGTGAAGTAAAATAAATAAATAAAAATGAAAAAAAAAAAAATAATAAACAAAAAAGCAAGAAATGAAATTTTATAGGCAACTTTTTAGAGAAGACGAGTCTTTTCTGACGCTGGGTAGACTTAGTATATTTTATATGCACTGATTGTTTGATTATGACTATCGATAATAAAAAAAAAATACAGAACGGTGTTCAATAGATTGTAATTTGAAGGATTTTTAAGTGTCGCTGTACTCTACCGAATTTTTGTCTCTCATATACATTCGCGTGTCCGTTTTCTTTTTTTCTTGCGTCACGCGACGCATCCTCGCGAGCCGGAAATCGAGGATGCGCCACGTTTCCGCTCGATTTTGCGAGATTCGTTGACGACTGCCTGAACTGATTCGATAATCGACGCGAATGATCGATGAGAAATTTTATGAAATGATTGTACGATGCTGCTAACCCTTTGGTTCAAAATTCAAGTTCTAGGTTTAATACATTCATTGTATTTTTAGCCCAAAAATGTTTTTATATGAAAGAAACCTACTACAAAATTTTCTGCGTTGATAAAAAGATTGTACAAGACCAGATTATAAAATTTTGTGAATTGTAGACAGCAACCAAAGGGTTAAGGGTTCACAGAGAAGCGCATCTCGAAAAGTCGTCCGCTAACAGGTTGACTGCCATGAAACATCATCGATCACCCCCACAAAATCACCGCAATGAAATAACAAAAAGGCAAGACTCGAAACACTAAAATAATCGATGAAATCGAAAAACGATTGTAATGAACGTGTGGCAGACAGCATGTTAATTATCGAACGTACAAATAAAGCGCATCGAAGAAGCGAAGAACGAGCGAAAAATGTTCAGCGGTTTGTCGAGAAACGTTAGCGTATCCACTTCTGTTGTTTGAACCGATTTGAACCGAATTGTCAAATTGTTTCTCCTTGTGATAACGATTGCGTGGAATATCCGAGTTTTACCTTTTTAAATTAGTACGAAAGCCGACCAAATCTCTTGTACGAAGCTTTTCTCACCCATTAACCATCTAGTTGGCAATAACAATCTAGTAAATTTCATCGTCTGTTACTTTTTAATTTCGTACGTACACCAGATTCCGTTTTCGTTCACGACTTCACGAAAGTCGTTCTCCTTTATTCTTTTTTTTTTTGTTTGTCGACGATCGTTTTCGCGCTTTTTCATTTCGTTAACGAAGGAAAATATTGCGTTGGAAAAAGTGTCGGAAAACTCTGTATGGCGAACGAGCGTGTACCGATGCTGGATTACGAAGTGAATATCCTCGTGAAAATATATGCAAATCGTGCGTTGTAACGATTAGAAATTAGTGAACTGGATCGTCTGCTAAATGTATGATGTACACGCTTGTCGAGGAACGTAGCGGACTCTAATCGAATCGAAAACTCGAACAGAAAGGTAATTACCATAAACGACTAACAGCGCACCGCAATTCAGTAGAGAAGTTTTGTTTGATTTTCTGTTCCGTTGCGTTTTTCGTCGTTTCGTTTATTATGCGTTATTATTGTTCGCACGTATGTGGAACGTGGATCCATTGACGTAACTAGCGCTTTTTAAGGGTAGGTCATTCTACACTCTGATACGGTATTTGACACAAGTAGCTTTTCTAGGAAAAATCAAGACGAAAAATTCTAGAGAAAACGAATTCTACTGAGAAAAGTGGTAGCACAGAGAAAAGGATTGCTAGAGATTTTCCAATCTTCAAATTATTAATTTCCCACATTTTTTGGCTTCAACCCTACCCTACACTCTAGTTACGCCTCTGAATTAATGTACAGACAGTGATTTTCGGTGATTCTTTCGATGGATGATTCGTCATCAAAGTGCCATAAGTTACTTCGAGAACCATAAATTGTCACACGATTGTTTGTAGCGTTCTTTCTATCGATCTGGAGATCTCGGACGATCGGCATTGCCAGCATCTCATACTTGCATATTGCCAATATACTCCAATAATGCCATATTTTAGTATTATCAATGAACATTGAAAATCCTGAAATATGAGAATTAAAAAAATGAACATTTAAAATAATTTTACCTGCTGACTGAATTAAATCACGTCTTAAACGTGTATCATTTTGAGTCACATTTGGATACAATTTTATATTTCTTCTAAGTTATTTTAAGAGATAGAGTCAATTTAAGATCTAAGGTCAAATGAAGGTTATAGTTTGTTGAATTTACAGCTATAACCTTCTTTTCAGAAAGAAAGACCTTGAGATCCTTTTCTCAAAAAAAGTGAAATGTGGATAAACTGCATCCATTTATAAAGTTCCTTAAAATGCTACATATCATTTAAATGGTCTTTTAATATAATCAGTAGGTAATCAGAGTTATTTTAAATGTTACTCCTTGTTGACTCAGCCTGTTGCAAGGTGTCCCACTTAAGTTAAGCACGTAAATTATCTTGACTGCTATCAAAAGAAAAGATAAATTATGGGGGCTTGTACGGTTTCAAAATTACTGTACGGTCATTAAATATACGTTTTGAAATCGTATACGCTCTCATTTTTATTTTGCAACGAGAGTAATTCGGATGTTGGACTTAATCGTCCGAGACCTCCATAATCAATCTCGTTACGTTCCACACTCGTGTTCACGTAGAAATTTCTCGTTTAGTCACTTGGAACATCCGATACATCCCTCCCACACAAACACACACACCAAATTCGAGAATTCCCGCACTCACCACGAAGCACCGTTACTCTTAGCCAAAAATTACTTTTATTTAGTTTCGTTTTAGCGATCGTGGATGCGTCTTGTTGGCCATCCGCACTCGTTGTCTCGTCGTCGATCATTTTGTCGAGAAATATCGGCGAGGAAACGATTGCCGGAGACAACGAGACGATCTTTTAGATGTTAAGATTCCTACGCAGTGGCTTGCTCGAGCAATTACAAAAGTTTCGATACTGATCGAATGGAAAATAGAAGAACGATTCTCATCGTTGATCGTTTGCTCGAGAAAGCGACCGCGACAGGATGTCGGCGATTATTATTATTTTTTATGGACTTTTGTTTTGCATGTTGCGTACGCGTATTGTTGATTTATTATTTTTACTGTCCGGACGACGAAGAAAAGTGAAAACATTTGGAGAAGAACAAAAAGATAAATATATATATATGTACATGGTTTGTTCGTTGCATTTAACTTTAATTTTCACGAGCCTGCTGGCTGTAAAACTCGTGTTACTTCGTTCTTTTATTTTTAATCTTTCCGTGTTTCTTATCGTCGGGAGAAACGACTGACATTATACAAGTTTATAAAAAAAATTCTATTCATCAAAAGCCACGTCGTTTCTCTCATCGATGTGCATCGTTTTGATTTGCAAGAAACAAAATCATTCGATGTCACAGAACGTAAAAGCAACGTGTACGATCGTCCTACGGTCACCATTTTTTTCAAGTTGGCACACAGGACGATTAACAAAGAATATCAGTGTGGAGTCCTCGGTATCGATTTATCGATTACACGTGGTACATCTGTAGCAACAAGTACGTAAGACTTCTTGTCGCGCGCGAACCTTATTTCAAACGAAAAGAAAGAAATGGAATGGTACGATCATACATTGTTTTGTTTTTGTTTCGTCTGCGCGGAAATTTTTATTTTCGTACAACATAGAACCCCATTCCTAGATCCTTGATCCAATCGCGTTGCTCCACGATTTAAAATAGGGTAGTTATATTTATGTTTCTTCACATTGAACTTTTGTTTACAGGTGTTTATTCGAATTTTATTTGTGTTGTACAGATCATTTGATCGCTTTATTAGCCGGGTCGTAAATCTGATTTATGGCTCGCGTAATTCGATTTTTTCTGTTTGCACGCATTACAGTACGCTGATATTTTAGATAAGTAGATATATTGTACGGATGTTGTCTTCTTAGGGAAAGTGGCGATGTAGAGACAGGAGGCTATAAACTTTTAAATTTTGACAATTTCTTGATTCACCAATTTAAGAATTGAAAAACTTGGAGATTTCAGTACATTCCTCTAAATCTCCAAGTTCAGAAATTTCATATTCACTCTGCAAATTTTTATAGTCCCCATTCTGCATTGATCAAGTCCTCCTTTCTCTATGTATATCGCCATTCCCCAGAGAATCTTCACTCTAAATCTCCACCATCAAAGTACATAATGTCAATTTCGATATTAGCTTGCATTGTGCATGCGATATTCACACGGTCATCCCGTAGCCACCCGCAACACAAATTACATATCGTACCATTATCACCTTACCAAAACTTGAGCAACATTACTGATCCACATCTTTCCGCAGAGTATTCATCGGGGAACGCGAAATCCGACGGCGAGACGTGGAAAGAGAAGGCAAGAAACCAGGGCACGGGTTCGTCGAATCAATCGAGTACGGAGACATCCGGCTCTCGATCGACGGGCAGCAACTCGTTGACGACCACCACGAGTTCGTCGACGTCCGCGTCCAACTCGGGGACGACGACCACCACGGCATCCACGAGAAGTTCGTCGGCATCGCCGGCGACTGGCAGGAACAACGCTCAGAACAGCGGGGGCAGTAGCAGCAGCAGCAGCCCGGCTCCCACGACGAACTCGTCGTCGACGAGCGGTCACCAGGTGGGCACTATGTCCGCCCCGCCGGGCCGACAAGTGCCCAAGAGACGCATGCGACGTCGCGCGACCTCGCACTCGCAAGATCCCGCGGAACAGCTAACGGAGATGTCCGTCCGCGGGTTGAATCTCTTTCGTTACGCCTCGATATCCGAGGGCGTGTATCAGTGTACCGAGTGCGCGAAGCTCGACATCCAGAAGACGTTCAAGAACAAATACAGCTTCCAGAGACACGCTTTCCTCTACCACGAGGGCCACCAGAGGAAGGTGTTCCCATGCCCGGTCTGCGGCAAGGAGTTCTCCAGGCCCGACAAGATGAAGAACCACATGAAGACGGTGCACGATTGTTTCATGCCGAAGGACTGCGTCGTGCCGTTCGGCTTTTTTCTCTCGCCTTAGCGGGCGGCGCGAGGGCGAGGTGGGGTGGTGATCGGTCCAACACGAAGAACGACCAGCACGGCGACCACGGACGAACAGAACGACGGACAACGGACAACGGACATCAACACCGGTCCACAGAGAAACGTTCGAGGTTCCGTACCGAGGACCATGATTAAACACGCGGCTTCCTCGAAGATGTCCGTGTTCAGGCGGGGCCGCGTTTGATTAGAATCACCTTCCGTTTATACCGTCGTCTTCTCAGCGTCGGCCTAGTCTAGTCACCCCGCTATGCGGCGTGGTCGTATACGGAGTTACGAGCGGATAGATACGGTCGGGGTCTGTGCAGACCCATGCGCGGTTTGGTTGGTTTCCACAAGAGCGATGTATGATTTCATCCGGGTGATGACGGTGTAGGGAAATCACCATGCTACTTGCAAAATTTGAAGATGTAGAAAATTGTGATTTTTGTTCAAAATATTAGTAGAAAGCTGTCATCAGCTATCAATTTTATGTTAGTAGCAAGCTGTCAAGCTTATATTAGTAGCATCCTATATCATCGACAAGCTGTCAAGCTTATATTAATTACAGACTATGTCATCAGCAATCTATCAAGTTTAAATTAATAACAAGTTATGTCATCAATAAGCTATCAGATTTATATTAGTGGCAAGCTGTCAAGCTTATATTTGTAACATCCTATGTCATCAGGAAACTGTCAAGCCTATATTAGTAACAGACTATGTCATCAGCGATCTATCAAGTTTATATTAATAACAACTCATGTCATCAACAAGCTATCAGATTTATATTAGTAGGAGACTATACTATCAGCAAGCTATGTCATCAAGCTTCTAAATTTTGTATTAGTAGAATATAATTAGTAGCAGGGGTTTGTCCCTACACTCGTCATTGTCCGAATGAATCCTACTTCGCAAATTGTTGTAGTACTGTCTACATATTGCGGACCAATCGCGCAGCCCATCTCACCCCCGCGACGTTCGACTTGCAAATCTGGTATTAAAGGCGCGATATCGATCGATTTAGTCGTTTAACCGAGCGAATGTTATCGAATGGCCGGTAAGATGAAGACGATGGTGCCGTGCCAGTGGAGGAGTACACCACGCGACCGATCGGATGCAAACACTTGCTTGCAGCAGGACGATATCGAGTGATCGCGCGGAGAAGACACGAACTGACAGAGAAAGAGAAATATAATCTGTTGTAAAAACTCGTGACTACTCGAGTAGTGCTCCTGTGTACATTAGTATTATATTATGATCCTTGAACTGTGCAATAGCGCGCGGATGCTTGTGGCCGATCGACGCGTTTCCGCTTGTTGTCTCCTTCGCTAGCGGGCCATTTTCTTTTCGCGCGTTTTTTTCGTTCTCGGTTGTGTAACGGTTTGTTTTGCGTACGGACGTGAGCACATAAGTGACGTGGAAACCATTTTTGAACATTTTGAACGAGAGACACACTCGACCGCTCTACGTTTGCGTTATGTACGATGTGATGTGCGTGAACCATTGTTTCACAATGCTGAAAGTTCGTAACGTGTCGGGCCCGCGTAACCGGAAACTGAGCTTTTTTAACGGAAATAATAACGATGAATCGTCGCAGTATTTTACGCGGGCGTAGTCTGCATTAATTCCAATTTTCTCGTTATATGTTTTAAGAGTCAAAATTCAATGATGTCGGGGAAATACTTTAAGGGATTATATTCCTTGCGATGCTGACGAGCTTTCTTCGTGCCTTCTTTTTTTTAGGCTACTCTTCGTCGAAGAATGCGTATTTACGGAATAAATCGGTCTTCTTCTTGGACGTTTTTAATAAAACTATGTAACGTAAGCAATACGACTAATGGGACTAACAGGATATAGTCGCGAGTACACTTCTGTTTTTGTGGATCAGTGATGGGCAGTTAGGAGCTAGGGGCGTTGATGGACAAGTAACGAACACTGGATAGAAACCTCAATCTGAAAATTTTGCAATTTCTATACTTGAAAAATTGAACTTAGGAAATTTAAAATTTGTGATCATTAAATCACCAAATTCTAACTTTCTAAATTATCAAATTTCTGTACATGAATATTTGGAAATGTCCACCAGTGCCCTAGCTCTCCCAAGGGCACTAAATCTGCCCACCACTGTTCTAGATCACAACGCGATTAGCTTTAACAAAAATATATATTTCAATGCTTTAACGCGCATGATGTTTTTTGTTTTTCATTTTTTTCTTTTTTTTTTAAACAGACAATTTCAGCAATCTATATGTGAAACGTTGGTTACGAATATTACGTTCTCTCTTCTTTTTACGTACTTCCAAATTTTGCATCTAACACAGTCCCTTCCGCGACTGCACAAAACTCTGCATAGTCACGAGCAGTCATTTTTTTTATTTACCGATGTCATCACAGACCACGTATTTTTTAAGAGAACGTACACGTCGGTTTCTACTTACATTTTCTTTTTACAAACGAACATACGAGCAACTACATGCATATCGTATGATAAAAAGGGAAGACGTTCTTCCAAATTTCTTAAACGTGCAGAGTTTTTTTTAGTCAAGATCGTCCTTTTTTTTTCGTTTTACGTAAGCCTTCCAACACAGATTCGATTCCAATGGTGCGTAGCGAAGCGTATTAGTAGAAGTGTATAAAAAATGGCGGAGAGAAGACGAAAATGTATATTTATCACAGAGTTTATAGATTCACTGCGAGCGCGAAAGACTCGTGGAGTTTGTTAGATAGTGCCTAACTAGAGAGACAAAGAAAAAGAGAGCGAGCGTGAGAGAGAGAGAGAGAGAGAGAGAGAGAGAGAGAGAGAGAGAGAGAGAGAGAGAGAGAGAGAGAGAGAGAGAGAGAGAGAGAGAGAGAGAGAGAGAGAGAGAGAGAGAGAGAGAGAGAGAGAGAGAGAGAGAGAGAGAGAGAGAGAGAGAGAGAGAGAGAGAGAGAGAGAGAGAGAGAGAGAGAGAGAGAGAGAGAGAGAGAGAGAGAGAGAGAGAGAGAGAGAGAGAGAGAGAGAGAGAGAGAGAGAGAGAGAGAGAGAGAGAGAGAGAGAGAGAGAGAGAGAGAGAGAGAGAGAGAGAGAGAGAGAGAGAGAGAGAGAGAGAGAGAGAGAGAGAGAGAGAGAGAGAGAGAGAGAGAGAGAGAGAGAGAGAGAGAGAGAGAGAGAGAGAGAGAGAGAGAGAGAGAGAGAGAGAGAAACACGAATTATACTGCATAGCAGCCTCGGTAAATGTACAGGTTTTCTGGGAAAGTGTATTATAGTTATTACCAATTATTAATTATTATTACTATTATCATTATTGATTTACCATTACTCGCACTACTATTAATGCAGCAAACAATATTATTTTTATTATCACCGTTACAATTTATTGCTATTAATATTATTATTATTATATATATATATATATATATATTGTTTGATAAGAATTTATTAACTTTTAGCTATGGACAAGCACCGATAAAATTGGTTATTATTGCTAGGTATATAAGTTAATGATGCACAGGCAAACACAGACAAGTTATAGAGAAAAAGTTATATATGTATACAGACATAGTATATATTAAATGACCCCTCAAGTTAGTTCGGGTCTGGACCGTTTGTTTTTCTCTTTGATTTATTAATTATTATATTATTATATTATATTATATTATACTTTTTTTCGTTCATTCGTTCGTTTAAAAACCTGAAAGAAATCTATTATTTGATAACATAATTGTTAACACGTTTTCTCATTTTTCTTTTTCTTATTATTTCGGTGTTGGGACACCGCGATGTAGACGTACATAGAGTTCAAGACGAATTACACGGAAAATCACACATAATTTTCGAACACGCCGTTCACACGGTCGTATTAGAACCGATGCAAACGAAGTTTTCCGATCCGTTCGTGAGAACAAACGCCTTTTCTTCTGTCCATGTGTTTGTTCGATGATACAATGGAAAACAATAACGCAGTTACGCAAAACCGCTTTTCAAATTGATCGATCAGACAATTATGTAAGTCAAGAACACCATGTACACCTGGTTGCGATGTATATTTCCTTTAATTGAAAGGAAGTTTATTTTCCTACGTTTTTTACTGAAATAGGTTACTCCTACCATTGACGTAACTAGTACCGGCTAGGGTCAGTTTTCTGTAGAATGCAGATTAGGTTGCGATAACGCGTGGTGATATATTGCGAGACCATACAATTCGATGTAACAGTATAATATATGGCAATGAATAGCTATTTGATGCGTGGTGATCTGACAAGTTGGTATTAGACTCTTAGCAATGTAACGTGTGATGATCTAAGGTATTCGATGCGTGGCGTTGTATCGCGTGGCACTGTAATGCGTGATGATCTAGCGCGTAGATACTCGACGCGTTGCTGTGTAACGTGTGATGATCTAATGCGTAGGTATTCGATGCGTGGCACTGTAACGCGTGGCGATCTAACGTATAGGTGTTCAATGCGTGGTACTGTAACACGTGGCGACCTAACGCGAAGGTATTCCACGCGTGGCGATGTAACGCATGGCGATCTAACGCGTAGCTATTCTACGCGTGGCAATGTAACGCGTAGATATTCGATGCGTGGCACTGTAACGCGTGGCGATCTAACGCATAGGTGTTCAATGCGTGGTACTGTAACACGTGGCGACCTAACGCGTAGGTATTCCACGCGTGGCGATGTAACGCATGGCGATCTAACGCATAGGTATTCTACATGGGGCGATGTAACGCGTAGATATTCGACACGTGGCGATGTAACGCGTAGATATTCGACGCGTGGCGATGTGACGCGTAGATATTCGATGCGTGGTGATCTAACGCGTAGATATTCAACGCGTGGCCATTTAACGCGTAGGTATTCGACGCGTGGCCATCTAACGCGTAAGTATTCGACGCGTGGCGATGTAACACGTAGGTATTCGACGCGTGGCGATCTATCGTGTAGATATTCGACGCGTGGCAATCTACCGCGTAGATATTCGACTCGCAACACTATAACGCATAGATATTCAACTCGTGGTAATGTAACTGTATATTTATACAACGCCTAGCAATGTAACGCGTGATCTAAGACTAGTCCTCAGTCTTCCAAAATCCAAGTTACGTCAATGACCTCAATTCTTACGATCAACCAAAGGAAGTCTACGTCGCAGCCTAGCGTACATATGTACATCTCGTTTGATTATGAATTATTTGACGCTAAAGCATTTCTCTTTTACTTTATTTCCCGACGTAAATGAGCTTAACGATTCGTACATTTAGCAATAAAAAACAAAGCGGTTTGAAAAAAACTGTGGTAGCAGGCGTCGAGCCCTGATATTACACGGATTAACTAACTTTGTTCTACGAATTTATTAGAAATAACATTTAATACTTACACGTCGAGTCTCCGATAGCAACGAACTCTGTCCGATTCTCGTTTCTATTTTGTTTGACACGTTTATCACTACGCCGAGAATTATAATTAAACAACTGTAATTTTCACTGCTGTTATTGAAAAGTGAACTTGTTTGATAAAATCTCATCGTAATTATTTACGAATAACTTTATATTACATAAAGGAACATGAAGTTGTAAAGATTTGATATTCTATGCAATATATGTGGACGTCAAAGTGTAATTATTATATCATATTGCATGTGCTTTTCTTATTATGGCATTCAATGTATTAATATCTTTGATCCAGTTCATGAGACAGTAACCAGTTTTCAAACGTGTATGAAAAATTAAATAGAATTATATTAATATTAATAAAATAACCTGTAACTTGAGAACTGACTAATTGGATAATTACTTGATAACTGATTTTTAATGTGCCTTATTATGATGTCCAGTTAACTTTTTATACCGTAATGAAAGATACATATCTTAAACTTATTATAGTGGTACTTTATAATGAAAAAAAAATTGAGACTAGATTAAAGAATTTGTAAAACAAGTTACAATAATTTTTATTGTACGGTTTATGATATATCAATTGTTACAGAGACAATCAACTTTCTAGAAATATATAATTTTCATCGCTAGTGAGAACGTGTTAAACAATAATTCTAACGAGATTATTCGAACGAATACCGAACGGAAAGCAGTATTTTGGTCTTCCGAATCGGTGTTGTACGCGTGAGAGGGTCGTGTGAAAATGAGCGTGGATGGAATGCATGTATGTCAGAATGATGATGGTTGTCAAAGAGCTATTTAAAAAAGAAAATATATTATATATATACATATACATATATGTAAAGAGAGGTCTATCACGTGAGAGGGAATGTGCATCTGCGTGTGATGTTTTTTTAAATTCAATATTTAACACATTGCCATTCGAGGAAAATCTTCTATTTTGTAATTGGTCAAATGAACTTCAGAATCTCTCATTTTACGTTCTAATTATAACAAGAATAAGAATTTTTTTTTAATTGAAACATTCATAGGTGGTCTTTAAACACTTCAAACTATAGATCAGTATACTTTTAGGATTCTCAATATTTGTTAATAATGAAGAATATATTATCTACATTAAAATGTTAAGAACCTTAAAATGTTGACGATATATTATCTGAAGTTTCCTTTACATGTTGTCAATAGTTTAAAAGGATTATTATGCATCATCTGTTAATTAACAATTTTTATATTATTACCTTATCTTATTTCTATTTATCGTTAATTATAATTTGTTTATTGATAATTATACAACGTTGTAAAATGTCTTAAACATTTTATATATAAAAAGCATAAAACCATAACAGTAATAGATTTTATCATTACACTTGAGAATCATTTTTCATAAAATTAGTGTATTGATTCAAGAGCACCTAAATCAATAAAGCAAAGAACGTAATTATTTCTAATTACATAGAGATATAAAAATAGGAAATATTGGCAATGTGTTGAATAAATTAACAATAAGTGAAAACGACACGTTGGCCGAAGCGCAGACATTGTATTCTCGCACAATCCTTTCTCTTGCGTCCAACTAATCGTTGTTATTATCGTAGAGAACGTAACTTTTACTTTGATATTAATAATGGTATCAACACACGCGCACACACATACATATCCGCTGGAATTATGTATTAGATTATCGATCACTTCTGTTTCCGTTCGACTTCAATTTTTCAAGGCATTTGCGACGGAAGTTTAACGACCTTTCATGGGAGCATATCGCGCATTAACTTTTGCTTGATTGAAACTTTAGATCAGTACCGACGCTAGACTTTATGGAACCCGGTGGCAAAAATTTTTATTTCACACATTTTTTAATTTCTAAATTTGAGAATTTGTAATTTATACAATTTTCAAGTTTAAAAACTACTTTGAGGAATTTCTAAACCTTCAATTTGGAAATTTCTAAATTTCTGATTTTCTAAATATTATAATTTGTGATTTTGAGAATTTGCAAATGTAAAAATATCTAAATTCGAAAATTTACAAGTTTGAATTTCATAAGCCCAGGGTCCGTCAGCTAACGTCGGTGCTGCGTTAATGATTGGTGATCGATGTTTATGTGATCGATATGTGAGAAAAGAGAAGAAAAATATGAGCGTGCGTGATTCGTTATAACAGAGAGAATTTATATAAATATATATACTTTAGAAAAGATAGAGTTGCATCGTTCGAATGAGCACGACACTGACGAGTCTTGAAAAAAACAAAACAAGAAAAAAAACGAAAAAAAAAAGAATTACAAATTCCTAATTTTAATGACGTGTGCAAAAAAGCAATTTAAAAAAAGAAAGGAAAGAAACGGTCGTGTTACTCTTCTTTTCTTCACTTTCCATGCATTGCGACAACATTACCTTACTTCTTACGTTTTAGTTTTATACTGCTATTGTAATAGTTACAAATATTATATATATATTATATATTACTACTATTGCTATTGTCGTCGAGTAGCGTTTATTATTTTATTTCTTAATTTTAACTGTAACACGTCGGGTATAACTTAGCGCGATAAGATGCGTTAGGCTTTAAAAAAAAAAGGAAACCACGGTAACACGTTAGAAGAGGGGGGTGATGCAAAAAGTGAGATAACCCCATAGAGATGCAAAAATGATACGGTTATTGTATTCATAATACAGATATATTTTATTCGAGCGTTAAATGCTATACAGCTTGCGACATAATGCGCTGCCTTCACTTTATATGTTTCCCCACGTTTATTCGTTGATAGAAGATATATATGTATGTATGTGTATCGCATGGTGTTCTGACGAACAGGTTTATATATTTATACGAATATATTATGATTGAAGCTTCTATTTGTCTTAAGCTGCGTCTAAGAGATTATAAAATTATTTTATAATGCTGTGTAAAATTATTTTATAATACTATTTCGCATTTATTAAACCTTGATGGATACATTTTGATAAAATGTGATTTTATGCGAAGATGAACCACAAAGTTGAAGGTTGCTGCGGATATTAATGAAATTAATATTTTGATAATATTTACACTCAAATTGCGTATCATACATCTATTGGCACAAACTAAATTAGCACACCTCACTAGACGCATCTTAATACGAATAGTATTCCTGGAGCAATCTAAAAATTAAGAAACAAGAATCTGTCGCCAGAACAATCATACGATCCGTAATATTACGAATTCGTGGCGTTGCACGTTCAGAAACCAAGGGTACATTGGCAAGCTCGAAAATATTTATAAATGTGTACATTTACAGTTCACATATAAAACCATGTAATCGACCAATCCAAGAGCCAAGAAACAAATGGTAGAACAAGATGCTTGCGAATGTATTCGTGGGTGAATTCGCAAAGTTGACCCGGGAACAAACGAAAGAGGTCTACGTTAGTGATGTGTCCACCTGTATTATTCTTACTTACAGTAATTTTAAAGAAAACGCTGTGATCCAGCGAAGATGATGCAAGCGTGTTTTAGCCAATTTTACGGTCACCGTTATATGTTTATTAATTAGCAATATACACCGCATATACATACATATAATATATATAATATATAGGATACGAGTACTGGCACTTTTATTTGCACCGAACAACAATGGAAGCATCGCACAGCACACTATTGTTTCGATAGAAGAAAGAAGCGGTTACACGCAGGCATACATTCTTGCAGAACACCGACCACGAGAGATACGTTGACGTAGGTTTTTGCAATAGGGACGATAATTGCGTGAACTATTAAGAGATATAAACCGTTGCGGAAGAAAAAAAATTCTATTATATATTATATAGAAATACTATGTTATATTATATTATTATAGTATATTGTACGTTCGCCCTGTTCAGAGGGTGGGTAGCGCGTTCAGACGGAACCACGCAGAAAAAAATACGAGTATGAACGTTATATGCAATTATAATAACAGAGAGTAATTACAATAAAGAAAGGAAAAGTTGCACGTTCGCACATTATCGTCGGCTGTACATTGTTTGTCTCTGAATGTACGGCGCCACACGTATGTACCTAGAATATTTGGTGCCTGGTGGCGATAAGAACGATAACAATCTAAAATAACTATTATTATTTTTATTTGTTTTTATCTAATTGTAGTTTCTTTGTAACTCTTTGTGATATACATTGCAATAGTCTATCCGACCGTTTATTTCTTGTATCGATTAGTGCAACCTCCATTAAAGCAAATCAGAGAAACATAACAACCCTCGAGAGATTCTGTTTCTGAAACAACCACCCCTTATTGCGTGGGTACATCTTGTCACCATGTGCACGATCACGCATTTTTTAACAAGCTTGGGCATATTTTATTTGAAATAAAGAAAACATAACAATTTATTATTTCAACGAATTTATTATCTTTATCTTACAAATAACAATTTTATTTTGTGCGGAGTTCAAATAAATCATTTACTTTTATTTTAATCGAGCAATAACAGATTGTCATTTCGTTTGAATAAAACTCTGTTGAGTATTTTCAGAAATCTGTATTTCAGACAGGGTTTTCGAGGTACTTGAGGAATTGAATAAAAATTTACTCAAGTACAAAATGAAAAATTATAGTCAGACATTTTTCAAGTATGTTATTTGAATAATGCTCAAGACTGACGTTGAACTGCGCTGTTTTAATCCTTCGTCCTTTCACCCTTCCTTTCTATCAGGACCGGTTCTATAGTGCACCACGTGCATTTGGTTTAGGAAAATTCAAATGCAAACATAACCGAAGTTACAAGTTTATACAATATTATATAATACAATATTATATAATATTATATATTACAATATTATAAAAATGTCTGAATTCCTAATATTATTTAACAGAAATTTTAACAATATATTGACACTGAGTAAATTTGAAAATTTAAAGATCTACAAATGTGTCAAATTAAGAATATAAAAATTTGCAGGATCGGTCCTGAATATAGCTGATCCTGAAGGTCCACGAACTAACATCTCTGAATAAAACTAACGCACCTGTACCTATTCTCTTTCCATGTCTAACCAGACCAGCTACCAAGTCTGCCGAGCGACATCACGTTCGAGATCTGCACGTCGTCGTCGTCGTCC